TTATTTCATTCTTTCCTAGACTCTTTAATAAAATTGCTTTCAAATCATATCACTGAGCTCCTAAATTAGCCAAATGCTTAATAAATGTCATCAAGTATGATAGCAATAACAGAAATACCTTTAGTTAATGCTGCTAAATTTCAAGTCAAAGAAAAAGTCTGAATGGACATAATAGAAGTCTCTATTATGTGAGGAAGACTGTGTTCACTATCATGCATTTAGAATAGTCAAGCAACCAAGTGCTGTGCTTTCCACAGATTTGCTTCCAATGCTCAATTCTATGACTTCCCCACCCACAGACCACTGACTCTTTCTAATAGGACCAATGTTTTCCTTCTCCAAGGTCAGCCAATAGAATAGGTATCCTTAAAGAGTAATCACAGTGTCTGACACAGGACCTAACATGTGAGACTTACCTGAGGGGTACAGATGGTGGGGACACATGAGGTAATGTATATAAACAAATGAATGTCTGCTTAGTGGAATGGAGGAATTGTTATTGTAGAAGCTAGTATTGATAACTCATGGGAGTGAACTTGGAAATAGTGAATGTAACAGCTTGCTGGTCATTGAGAGCTAGTTTGCTCTTAGCATCAGCTGTCTGAAGCAAATTTCAGATCTTCATATACTTTCCAGTCATCAGATATTCTCTTTTCCTGGGATTCCTCCCTCTATCAGTTCTCACATTTTCTGTGTTCTGCAATGCCTCTTCTTTCTCTCTGCACATTCTGTAACAGCACCCTGTCAATACCATGAACTTGAAGCCATTTGGCAGATGTGGGATCATCTACCAATATTATGCTATGAGCATACTCTGAGTCTTTCACACTATTATTTTATCTGTTAAGTCCTGATGTCTCTTCTCTTCACAAGTCTGTCAGAGACCATGTCTCTGTGTTTATCCTCAAACAATCTCATAGCAAAGTCTTTGGCATACAGGGACACATCAGACATCTTTAGCTCAAATCAAAGAAGGCTGCTACCCACCAATTTTAATGTTTCCTAATGACTTTGTGGAAAGGAGGAGGGGTTATGGGCACTGGATGAGGTGAGGGATTTTCCCATTCACTCACCAAAACCCTAAGAGACTCAAAAGATTTAATATCAGCCCTCTTGGGTTTATCCACAAAACTAAAGTCTCTGAAATAATTTCTATGCTTACAAA